ATATGATGACACAAGCCTATAATTCTAGCACTTCAGAGGCTGAAGCAGGATATCAAATTTAAGGTCAGACTACATAGTAAATACTCCAAAGAAACAGAACATTCCTTTGGTTGCTGACTGGCCAGTCTAGTTCTTAAAACACCTAACTTCCCAAGCCTCTGTTTCCTAAGCTTGGACTGTCAGGAAGAATGCCTTACAATTATTTTTTAACTGATCCTGGGGTTTGAACTCAGCTGTTCCTTAGGTACTTTTACTCAAGGCTAGCACTCTACCACTTGAGCCATAGTTCTACTTATAGATTCTTCTGTTATTGAAGATAAAAAAAATCTCTCATTGGGCTTCTAGCCCAGGCTGGCTTCGAACTATGATCTTCAGATCTCAGCCTCTTGAGTAGCTAGGATTATATGCATGAGCCAATGGCACCCAGCAATTAATCCATTCTATCTTTGCAATAGTACTCTTGACCCAAGTAAGACTGAGTTGTCTTTTCTTTTTTTCTTCAGAGCTGAGGACCAAACTCAGGGCCTTGCGCTCTTCTGCTGAGCTAAACCCCGAGCCCCATGAGTTGTCTTTTCTTATTTTGTTTAAACAGATTCAACTTCATATGCTCAAGGTTTCAAAAATCTTTATTTTACTTTGAAAGGCATTAATAAAAAGCTTAACGTATTTACTAAGTTGCAATTATACAAAGTGCTGAATCACAAATTTAACAGACCAACTCATGTCCTGAACATAACCTTTGAGTTTCTTTCAAGCACTCACATTTCCATTGTTTAGTTACTCTCACTGACTGCCCCAAGAACACACTGGTCCTAACATGGACACTCTGGAACAGGGGAAGATGCTGATGCTGATACCCGCCACCTCCTGTCCATGAAGATAACCAGGAGACTTCTGTTCATATTTCCAGGGAATATCAACACCATTCTCCTTGGGAGAGAACAGAATGTGAGGGTAAAAGGAAAAAAGTCTAGGTACAGTTCCAAAATATAATCACTATGAGTGTGTGGGTGTGCGCACGCTCTACTCCTGGGTTTTTCTGCTCAAGGACAGTGCTCTACTACTTTAGACACAATTCCATTTCCAGCTTTTCTTGTAGTTAATTGGAGATAACAGTCTCATGGACTTTCCTGCCAAAGCTGGCTTTCAACCAGGATCCTCACCTCTCAGCCTCCTGAGTAGCTAGGAATACAGACACAAGCAATCAGAGCCTGGCTGTCCTACCAGAATTTAAACATATTACAAAAGCCAAATACTGTAGCTCATGCCTATAAACCTTGCTGTAATTTAAAATCCAGTACATATTCAAATTACTGTAATCAATCTCCCTTTGAGAGGATTTTTTTGGTTAGTTGTGGGGCTTTCACTCTGGACCTGGGCACTGTCCCTTAGCTCTTCAGCTCAAGGCTAGCGCTCTACCACTTGAGCCACAATGCCACTTCCGGCTTTTTCTGTTTATGTGGTGCTGAGGAATCGAACCCAGGACCTCATGCATGCTAGGCAAGCACTCTACTGAGCTACCTTCCAAGCATGACCTTTTTTTTTTTTGCCAGTCCTGGGTCTTAGAGCCTTGGCACTGTCCCTGAGCTATGATGCTCAAGGCTGGTCCTCTACCACTTGAGCCGCATTACCACTTCTAGCCTTTTCTGAGGGTAGATTATTGGAGGTAAATATCTCATGATCTTCCTGTCCCAGCTAGCTTTGAACTGCCATCCTCAGATCTCAACCTCCTGAGTAGCTAGGATTACAGGAGTGAGCCATCAGTGACTGGCATTTGCCCAAGCCTTTACAGATTGTTTGTTTTCAAACGAAAGTCCAATCAAGAATCTCACATTGGCTGGGTGCTGGTGGCTCATGCCTATAATTCTAGCTACTCAGGAGGCTTAGATCTGAGGATCATGGTTCAAAGCCAGCCTGGGCAGGAAAGTCCAAGAGACTCTTTATCTCTAATTAACTACCAGAAAACTGGAAGTAGTGCTGTGGCTCAAAGTTATAGAGTGAGCTACTAGCACCTGACTTCTGCACAGTTTTTAAATTAACTTTTCAATATTTCATTTTTTTTTGCCAGTCTTGGGGACTGAACTGTGGGCCTGGGCACTGTCCCTCAGCTCTTCAGCTCAAGGCTAGCATTCTACCACTTGAACCACAGCACCACTTCCAGGTATTTTTTTTGTTTATATGGTGCTGAGGAATCGAACTCAGGCCCTCATGCATGCAAGGCAAGCACTCTACCACTGAGCCACCTTCCCAGCCCCTCAATATTTCAATTTTTTCATGTCCAAAAAATTTGTTTCCCATGAACTTTAAACTTTATACAAAAGATTCACTTTTATGATAGCAGACTTACAATTGAAGTGTGAGCTCCTCCCTTCTTTTTGATTTTGTCTGAAACCCTATAAAGAAAACAAAATAAGTTTTAAGAATAATGGAAAAAAAA